TCTAAGTGAAAGGGCGAGGGCCCGACCTGCCGGGCCGCCCCCCGGCCTCCTGGGCTCCTCAGAGGGCTGTGAGGACAGCGGGCAGTCCTTTCCTGTCTGCCACCGGTGGCCTGGATTCAGAGCCCTAGTTGCCTCAGACTGTGGACCGGGGCGTGTCCTTCCGGTGAATCAGGGGCAGAGGCAGCTGGTGGTGCCAACCTGCAGGCCGTGCCCGCTGCGGTCCCGGGCTGATGGTGCTTATGCTGAAAAGCCCTGCCCTGGAGTCGCTCTGGACTCACACCCAGTTCTGCTCCCTCCTGGCTGGTGATCTTCACACGTTTCGTGATGTCTCTGAGCCTCAAGTTTCTCTTCTATAAAATGGGGAAAATGGTAAAGTACCTACTTTCATCAAGCCTAGAAGTTGTAAGGGTTTAAAAATGTTTTCAGTTTTTATTTATCTACCGGCGCATTTTAAGTAAAATGCAAATTGCTGTGATTTCTGAGGAAACAGTCAACTCTGAATTTTTTTAAATTTTCAATTGCTGTATTTGTTCCTGTGTACGGAGCACAGAGCAGTAGTTCTGTTTACAGTGTGTGATAATCACACGGAGTGCCTAGCACTTCCATACCCTCAGTCATTTCTCTTCTCTATGTGTCAGGAAACTGTGGACTCTCCTAGCTCTTCTGAAATATAAATTGCTGTAGACTGCGGTTGCCCCCTTTGCTGCACAATACAAGAGCTAATCCCCTGTTTAACTGCATTCCCATAGCCGTTGTCTAACCTCTGTCCCCCTTCCTGGTTTCTCCTGACCTCTGCTCTCCACTCAGCTTCGAGATCACGATTTTTAGCTCCTTCGATGAGTAAGAATATACACCGCCTTTCTGGGCCTGGCTTACTTCCCTTATCTCCAATTCCACTCATTTTCATACAAATGACAGCATTTTGTTCTTTTCCATGGCTGAATACTACTCCGTTGTGCATATGGATGATATTTCTTTATCCATTCACTTGTCAGCGGATGCCGCAGATGACGGCCTGGCTTGGCCACTGGGGAGAGTGCTGCAGGAAATGCTGGAGTGAGGTGAGTCCCTGGCACAGTGACGAATTTCCTTTTGGCGTGACCCTAGGGTACAGCTCTACTTCCAGTTCTTTTGAGAAAACTCCACTCTGTTTTCCATAGTGACTGTACTAATTGACATTCCTGTCAACAGTGTGTGAGTTTCCCTTTCTTCATATCCTCAGCAACATTTATTATTTTTTTGTCTTTTTGATAATAGCTATTCCAACCATGGTGAGATGACACTGCAACATTTAAATTTCAGGTCCAAAACCAAAGTTTATCTTCTTCTTACATTAGTGCATAATGGAAAGATACAAAAGGAGCATTAGGGGGCATAGCTCAGGGGTAGAGCATTTGACTGCAAAACGAGCATTCTATCTACAAAACAGAAGGACTTGGCAAAACTGACTATTCTTTTGGTACCAGAGATCGAACTTGGGACCTTGCGCTCCTGAGGCAGGTGCTGCAACCACTGAGCTAAATCCCAGGTCCAGAATTGACGTTTTAATGGTACAGTTAAGGAATATTATTTCACAATATCGAAGACCTATTCTTGTCCAATTGAGTACTAGGAAAAGATCCGCTATCAATACATACATTTTCCAGCATCTACATAGATCCCTAGTTGTTAAGTCAGAAATACAATACTTGTTTTAATTCAACTAGTGAAAAACAAAACAAAGCAAAACAAAACAAACAAACAAACAAAAAACTCAAACGCAACCTCGGTTTTCAGTGGGCAAAAGATGTCTTACTCCAGAATTCTAAAGAGAATGGAAAAAATGGAAATATAAATCATAGCCTGATATTTTTCCATATGACATTCATAAGTAATGTCAGGTTAAGTGTGGAAACCAGCAGATATGACTTTTATACAAAATTTAATATTTGCTTGAATAAAGAAACCAATTTTGCAGGGCGTGGTGGTACATGCCTGTAATCCCAGCACTCAGGAGGCTGAGGCAGGAGGATCGCTGCAAGTTTGAGGCCAGCCTGGGCTACATAGTGAGTTCAGGGCCAGCCTGAACTACAAAGGGAGACCCTGCCTCAACAAACCAAAAAAAGAAATCAATTTGGACTTAGACTACATGTAGACCATACAGTTTCCTGAAATTGCTATTCAAAACAAGAAGTATTTTAGTATTACATGTTGTATTATTGGTTTGCTAGTATTTACTAGAGTACTCTGAAAGGAACTCTTTTTTGGTACCGGGGATTGAACTCAGGACCTTGTGCTTGTGAGGCAGGTGCGATGCCACTGTGCTAAATCCCCAGCCCGTGAAAGGTACTCTTTCAAAACAATTTCATGTGTGAAAAGCATGCCTGCCCAACATGTCCAGGGACACAACTCCTACTTCCTGTCCTTGTTCCTATTGAACAAGTTCAGGAGCATAGTCTTTTGGTCCTCCTGCAATTATCTTTGGAATGGCAACCACTTATTCCCTGTGCCACGGGTGCTAGGGTCAGCTGGGTTCTGGAACATGCACACACTCTGGAGGAGCTTGGTGTGCGGGGTGAGGACCCAGCACTCTGCAGACAGAGAGGTGGCTGGATTCTGGCAGATCCGTGTCTTGGGGGTGGCCCTTTGGGTGCTTACGCTTATCATCTGAAGCTTCGTCTCCTCATGTGAAGATGGGCTGGCCCACTCTCTCTCCCAAATTGTCGAGAAAATTCTGATAAAAAGTAAAGCTGGGAGCTTGCAGTTTATTAAGAAAATTGCCCCAAAATGAGTGGCTGTATTATTGTAATGACCAGTGTGCTATTTTTGTAGCCCAGAAATGGGCAACTTTCTGCATTGATCAGGGAATTTAAAAAGCACTGCCAACCAGTGGCTGAATAAACCATATTTCTTTGCATGATACATATAAGCTTGCCAAATGGAGCCAGCTGTCACAAAACAACAACCCAGGGATCGTGTTGTTGTGCTTTAAAGCAAAACTTCGGATGGCCAACCGGATGCCAATCCGGTAGCTGGCTAAGCTTTCCTGCCCTACATTGTTTACATATTTTCCTTGGATGTGGGGTGGTGTCGGGGAACAAACCCTTCAGTGTGCACACATTCAGGGCTACTCTGTACAAAACCCTGAATGGCTGTGAAGGAAAACTCAAATAACATGGGAAAAATCAAAAGAATGATATTTTTTTTCATATTGTTCATTGGTTTTCTTATTACAAAAGCAGTGCATATTTCTTGTGGAAAATACATAAAAGCAAAAAGAATAATGTACAGAAACTCACCTCTAATCTCAATGCTCAGAAAATAGCAATTCCTTGCTTTGCATGTATATATGAAATGTTATTTTCTGTTAACAAAATTTTTTTCTTTACTGTAATATCATATCAGGATCACTAAGCTTTATTGTGGAGCAGAGATCAGCAAACATTCTTTGTGAGGGTCACACAGTGATAGGATGCTAGGCTTTGCAGTCTCTGTCACAGCGGCTTGTTTCTGCCACCATGACGTGAAACCAGCCATGATTTGTAAATGAAAGTCTGTGTCCAGATTCTGCCCCTGGTGGCCTGCATTTCTCCCTGGTTTGTGTAGCTTGCTGAATCCTATGCAAGAGAATCAACTGTTGTTAAACAGGTTATAAAATACAATTTTACTAGTGTGTCAATAGTTTTCATTATTTTTAATCTTCCATGTCTTGGAGATTTCTTCAAAGGTTGTCTTGGTGCATGGTTTTGGGAATTAGATGTCTACAAGCAACAAACAAGCATTAAAAGAGAGCAGATTCTAGAGGCTCTTTGACTGATGCTGCCCCAGTGAAGTGTGTGCTGGACCCACCGTAGTCTCCTGAACTCCCGCTGTGGTCTTGGGAGCAGCGTTCCCAGACTGTGAGGGATACACAGGCTGGTACTCCCACCACAAAAGAGCCTTTCCATCCTCTTACACAGAAAGTGAAAAGCCAGCCCTCTCCTATGGCTGAGACCGTAGGCCAGTAACATTGCAAACAGTAATGTCATTTGTGTCCAGATTGGAAAAAACGGGGAAAAGTTATTTGAATGATTCCTTTGTGTTAAGTTCCACTGCAGCACAAAGAATGGGTTATAGGTTGTGCTTGCTGGGAAACAGACTTTGGACAAACGTTAGAGCTCAGGAGAGGTGTGGGGCATGTGCTGGGCTCTGCAGCTATGACGGAGTGGGGTGGCGGGTGGACGGGCAGAGAAGTTGGGCCTCACAAAGGCCTCTGTTAAGCCCTCTAGAAGCTCTGGAGGTGGGGCCCTTTGGCAGTGTCCTGAGACGAAGAGGGGCCAGGCCCTTAGACACCCCTAAAAAGGCAAGACAGCTCTCATCAGCATTTTTTTTTAAAAAAAGATCAACAGCCATGTGTTGCTTCTGGCAGAATTCCCAGCAGCTAGCGAGTAAGTTTCATATTCAAGAAGGGGTGTCTAGGTAGCATCGCATGTATGTCAAATGCCATAGGTCAAGTCTAGATGACAAACTTGCCCTAGTTAATAGCCTGTTCTTAGTTTGAAAAATCAATGGAGTGATGTTATGAAGCAAAGGAGAATTTTAGTCTGGTTGAAGACATTTTGCTTAACAATTTCATTCAAGTGTCCTCCTCTGTGTGTGAGGAACTGTTAACTACGTGTGAGTTAGATACAAAAGCAAGTCCAGGGCATGAGTCTCACCTTCGGGCAGCCTTGGGAGGGTGCAGGATTGAGTTACATGGTGGGACAGATGGTGACAACACTGGGAACGGCCTGGGAGGGTTGAGACTAAGGCACGAGGCTCACCCAACTGAAAGGCACTCAGAAGAATTCTCACTTCATTTTAGAGCTACTTCCTCTTAAACGTTTATTAAGAAGCAGCACTGGTAATAGTTGCTGGTGGAAACCTGGGGTCAGAGACAGAGGTGGTAGGACAAGGAGTCTGGTGCAGCTGCCGAGATGTTCTGTTGGCAGTGGTCACGCAGGAATCTGAAGTCACCTGTCAGCTAATCCGACTCTCAGCACCATGATCTATTACCTTTCTTTGGATGTCACTTCTGCCCTCCCTTGCTGATTGTTATAATTCACCAGCACAGTATAATACCCTGCAGGTGTTACTCAGGGAGTCCCACTGAAAAAAAATACTGCATTAGAGATGAACTTTGGCTTGCAAATGGAATGCAGCTTCAGCTCCTTTTCACCTGCTAGTAAAAAATGAGGTTCTCATATGACGAAAGAGCCAAACTGGGTCTTCATACTGGCGGTGGAAGGTTGTGGACTGAGTTCAGGATTAAGAAAAAGCACTTGTGGAATTCAGACGAGTTCGAGAGAGCTCTCACTTGAAACGCATGAGATGCCAAAGTAATTGCTTCTGTATGCCACAGGGAAGGGGCGCTTACCCACAGGGGCTTCTGCAGCTTTTAGGGAACAGTAGCTATCAGATGGGTTTCCCCAGTGAGGCAGTCCTGTCTGCCCGTTCATTCCTTCGTCGGGCCGCCCGGTGCCGGCTCCGGGGAGCTCCTTTCTGTCCCTGTCCATGGGAGGAGCCCGGAGCTGGGGCACCGCCCACCCACCTCTGCCCTGGCCGAGTCCGGGCGCTTACGGGTTTCCCGGGCACCACGGCAGCTCACGGAGGGAGCAGGGAGCCAGAGCTCTTGCCCTCAGGGTGCTTTATTTTAGATGAAGTGAGATAAAAGCAAAGTGAGCCACTACCAAAAAAGCAAATAAGTCCTCATTGAGGTAAGTGCTAGGAAGCCCCGGGACAGGATGCTCGACGGACTTCAAACAGACGGCCCTGCCACCCTGAGCCCTGGAGTCAGTTATTGGCGCATGCGACACTGACACGAGGGAAGGGAACCGCGGCGGGTCAGGAAGGAGGGACCAGGGCCGGGCAGGGACCCGGGCCGGAACCACCTCTGCCCGGCAGGCGTGGAGGCGGGGCAGGCGCGGCCAGGAGTCGGAGTCTGGCCCCCTACCCTGAACACAGAGCCGGGAGAGGCGCCGGAGGCCCTGCGAGGGAGGCTGGTGGCCGTCACAGAGCTCCCGACGGCCGGACTGTGGAGAGGTGGCCGCCCGGGGCCAGGACACACGGCTGAGCGGGGGCCCTGAGCAGCACCCCGGGGCTGGGGGAGCAGCTGCAGGGCCAGGCTGAGAGGACTGGACGAGGGGGCAGATCGGGTCCCCCTCCCACTCCGCCTGTGCTGCCTCTGAGCTGCTTTCCTTCGTGCGCTCACAGACAGCACGAATCGTCAGCCACGGCGGCTGCCTGTGAGACAGTTATTTGACGGAAACGTCCGAGACCGCTGCAGTCAGGCCTTACCCTCGCCTGTGCCTATGTCACGCCGCCAATCAGATAGTCACTGCCCTTTCTGCATCAAAAGACCACCCGACAACCTCAGATTTGACTCCTCTTTCCTTTTCTGTAACCTACAGTGTCCGCCTCAACAGGAGAAAAGACAAACAGTTCCACAGCACTTCACACAATGCCTGCTAGGTCGCGATTGTTGTAAGCTACTTTTTACTACTGCAGTTATTCAGACCTATGTTATGTTGAGGGATTAGGCAGAGAATTAATCACAGGCCTTTCCCTCAGTGTTGGCTGCCAAGACTGGGGAAAACAGATATAGGAGGCAAACCAAGAGAGATCAAAACATTGGTTTTATGACAGAAGTGGCTGAACGTCACCCAACTCGGAAAGTCTGTCTACCTGCACGCCTTAATTTCTCTCTTGCCTCCATCAGGGTCGGAGGGGTCGAGGAGCCTGGATCCCGCCTGAGCTGGGCGTGCGCCATCGTGGAAGCACCACGGGGATTGCCAGGACAGGTGACTCACGGCCGGGAGTGAGCGGGCAGGAGCGGCCCCAGCCGGGCCACCATCACCCAAGCAGGCTGCACATCTCTCCACTCCACGACTCAGTCTCCTCGTATGCCAAGTGGGAATGATAAAGGTGAGTCTCACAGAACAGGGACAAGGGCGAAAGAAACAGAAATGCTTGTGTCTGGCCCTGAAGCTCCAAGAGGTGTTTGCCACTATCATTGTCTGAAAACAGGAATCTAAAAGCACCGTGGTGCACACTTGACTCCAGTCCCAGCTACAAGGAGGCTCTTCCTCTCCACAGAGGAGAGCGCTGCACCCGTGGCTCCTCTTTCTGGGAGCAAGGCGCACAGCGTCCCTGGATGCTGAGCAGATATTCCTTCACGTGACACAGTTGGCCTCAAATCTGACCGGTGCCTGAGCGGCCCGGTCTCCAGGGACAGAGGGCTTTGCCACGTCACTAGTTCACCCTCCCACACCTCAGCCCCTCGCTGGGCCTCGAACCCAGCTGATACGCAGCCAATGCCTGACAGGTTTGAAGCCGAGCACCTTTGTCTCGGAGGGCTTACTCCCACAGACAGAGTGGTCCAGGCTGTTGCCAACAGTAGTAGCCAAGCCCCAAAGGGGCAGGTGTGGTCCCTGTGTCTGCCCCATGTGCCTTCTCTCTTCAGAACATCTGGACCTGAACTTCAGGGCTGCTTGGAAACTGTAGGGAACCTGGAACCAACAATTTCTCTCAGCACAGGGACGCACCTTCTGTATTTCCCTTCCTCACTTGTACCTTTCTCTGATCGGGAATATCTGGGCTCCTCTGTCCAGGCAGAAACCAAGAATTAAGAGTCTAGTATAAGGTGGACACACTGACTTATTGAGTCCCTTGTTTGTTTGCTCATAGATTTGGTTTAACTAGATGAACCAGATAGTGAACGACAAGATTAAATTAGAAAAGGGATCACTGCAGAGCAGGAACTCAGGGGGCCGAGTGTTAGTAAACAGGAAGGCCGGGCTGCAGCAGAGAGCACTCACAAAGCATTGATCACCCAGTAAAGCGGTGGACCGATTGTCATTGTGATTCCAGTATGACAAATAAGAGTTTCCTTCGTTATGCTTGTTACCCTCTGAAATTACTTCCTTCTATTTGTATGTCTCCTCTGATTGCTGTGTACATTCCATGGGACTTTATTATTTTGTTTCAGCCCTGTAGAGCTGTGGTGGAGTTTGGCCAAGTCCCATCCCTGCCTATTTTGGGAAATAAAGTTTTATTGGGAAACAGCCAGACACTTTTGGTCATGACTCCTCTATGGCTGCTTCTGCACTGTAACCCCAGAACTGAGCGGGACTGTCGGGTGGGGTAGCCCTCAAAGCTCTGCACCACCTGGCCCAGGATGGAGGATGTTTGCTAGCTGCTGCCCAACCCACTGACTGATAGATACATACAAGGGCTGATCAAACTGGACAATGTGTGTTTAAATTTTAAAAATTTGTTACAGTAATATACACATTGCTATTAATCCCTCTCAAAACACTCCCCTCACTTGAGCACACTTATCCCACTGCTCTTGCCATGTTCTGGAGCAGCTCTGCAAGGCCTCTTTCATGAGTATGTTTGTAAGGTGTGATAGAAATGTGGTGAATAGGTTCCACTGCTCCCAGCTCAGAGGAGGTGAGCTGCGCGGGTGCCAACAGCATACCCCACCCCGTTGAAATGAGAAGACGCATAAACAAGTCTCAAAACCAAACTTCCAGACCACCTACAGCAACCTCAAAGGGAAATGAGAAGAAACACTCTGATACTCAACCACCTGGACTCTCTGAAATGGTAACAAAAAGGGATCTGGAAAAAATGAAATCAGAAATAATTTCTCAGATAACAGCAGAGATTGTGCTCATAGTACAAGACATGATTAATAAATCAAGAGAGGAGCTGAGGAACATGATGGAATCCCAACACAGGAAACAAATGGAATCCATAAAACAGATGCAAACAGATTTCCAGGAGATCAAAAACTCCATTGAAAGTCTACACAGCAGAACAAGCCAATGTGAGGACCGAATTTCTGATATAGAAGATAAAATTGCAATTAGTGACCAGGAAAAGAAAAATTGCTTCAAAATTGTAAGGGACCATGA